TTAAATGATTTTAATGAGCAAAACAATTTAATTTCTTTTACAGAACGACGAAATTGATTAAAATATCTTATTCAGCCTTTAGTCCGTTTCATTGTTAGGGGAAAAAAATTAAACTGCTAGATTGCTACTTGCTAGTACACACATATCAGCGTAGTGATTGTACAAGTCAAAAAGATAAAGACGAGCTTAGTATGCCAGTTCGGAATATTTCAATAGCAATTACTTCAGACCGCTGAAAGTTCTCGATTTTATCACTTTACCTTCACTTTTGGCTGGCATTTATGGAACACACATACTGGTGACAACAGTATCACGACTAGTAAGTACACATCTTGTCAAGTTCTCTTATGGAAGAAACTAATCAATTTTTTCCAGGACGAGTTGATTTCTTATCGTTATATTGTTGTTTTTCGTATTCTTGACCTATTCTTTATGTTCTTCGGATTACAACAGCCAGTATTCGACTTTTTGGCACGTTATGGTGCTTTCGGATGTGGAACTGTTTTGCCAGCCATAGAGACATCATTCTGTAAGTGATATTGATATTAGGTACTAGGCTGATATCAGGCCTTTAATAGAGTAGGACTAATCCACTAACATTCGTGCTTCTAGAAATTAAACAAAAGCTTGCCTTTTCAAAGATATTTTCAGTCTGGAAGAATTTCTTCACGGTGATCGAATCATTTTTTGTAACTCTGATATCAACTATACTGCTCCAACCATCGAAGTCCTCGTTCTTCGATAAACATCCAAGCTGTCGATCGATTACATCATCTCGAAACAGCCACACCAATGAGACTCCTACTTAATTACGAACCCATAAAATTCGAACTTATTCACGTTTTACTGTTTGTCCGCGTAAACATACGCCTTCCTTCTCTTCAAATTCTCGGCTTCGAAAAACCTTAAAGTTCCTAGAAGTTGTTAGCAAGTTGAAAATTGGAAGTGATTGCTAGATTTTTTGGTCTTTTAAATTTGTTGATAACTTGGTTGGTTTCTTGTTTACCCCATAGCTTTGCTTCCTTCTTTTCAGATGACTCAATGGTATTCTTCAGCAGGTCTGTCAGAATTTATGCTAGTCGAGTTGTCTATCCGCATATGGTCTTTGTAACTGATGAAGTAATTGTATAAGGATACCACTCCATCTCTAAGCTTTTCTTTGTTCAAGTCTTAAAAGATCACATTGATCAACTAAGCAACCCTTATAATTCCTCCAATTGTACAAATTCGTTTACTTCGGTTGACCAGCTGACATCAGCGAGAGAGCAAGCGAGATTGTAGAATATTGATTGCGACTCAAGCGTTTGAATTTCCCGTCTTCCCTTCGTTTTTATCTTTACTGCTATTG